TTTATAGGCCCTCCATAGATAAGAAAATGCCTATTCATTCTCAGTTAAGTGAACTTCTGGTTGGAAGTTACAGCCTGGGTGGCCTGAAAGCCATAAGAACCATTTGTCTCATTTGTCACTCTACACTGTATTCTGTTACTGTACTGAGCTTGCTTTGCTTCTAGCACCTGGTTTGTCCCTCTTTGACATGTTATTTCTGTATATATCCATGTTCTTCACACCCTGGAGTACTCACCATAGGCCCCAGTAATTCCTGGCCTAGTCTGTACCTTACACATGGGCACATTAAAAAAAGTTCGCTCAGTTTGTTTTGAAAACCTTCCCTTTAGACTTTAAGTTTCTATATTCAGCTTAACCTTTTCCCCAACCAACTTCCTAGATACACATACGGGAAGGAAGAGAAGTTACTCACAAATCGGTTCAACTAAGTGCCTGGCACCATCGGAGATATTTCACATCTAGTACATTATTTATATTAATCCACTTGGTAATCCTGAAAAGTAGGTGGTATTACCCTCTTTTTAATGATTAGGAGACAAGCTCAGAGAGGTCAAATAATTTGCCCAAGGACACAGAGGCAAACAGTGGCAGATCCAGGTTTCAAACACACACACACACATTTACCACTCACAATTTTTTCCTAATAAACTAAAGAAGGGAAGAAGAGAACAACAGTAAGAATGAAACTCTGAGATGCCTGTGTCTGTACCTTAACCTGAAAAAGGAGAGGTCATTGGTTTGGTGTCAGTCTCTCAGAGCTGAAAAAAATCACTTGATCCCTCCTTTTACAAAAGAACAATCTAAGGTTTAGAGAAGCTCACAAGCTCTTAAAAATCATCTAATCTTTTTTTTTTTTCCTGAAACACTCCTTTTTGGTAAAATTTGGTAAGTTAGTGAGGAAGAAAATCCCTTGTGTTAAGGATTATAAATCGTTCTGTCATGAAGACACATGCACATGTATGTTCATTGCAGCGCTGTTTACAATAGCAAAGACCTGGAACCAACCCAAATGCCCATTGATGATAGACTGGACAAAAAAAAAATGTGGCACATAGACACCATGGAATACTATGCAGCCATAAAAAACGATGAGTTTGTGTCCTTTGTAGAGACATGGATGAACCTAGAAACCATCATTCTCAGAAAACTGACACAAGAACAGAAAACCAAAAACCTCATGTTTTCACTCATAGGCGGGTGATGAACAATGAGAACACTTGGGCACAGGGAAGGGAACAACACTCACAGGGCTAGGTTGTGGGGAGAAGAGGAGGGAGGGGAGGGGGGACAACAGAGGGGCAAGGAGGATGGGGAGGGACAACACTGGCAGAAATGCCTGATGTAGGCGACGGTGGGTGGGGGGGATGAAGACAGCAAACCACCATGGCATGTAAGTACCTATGCAACAATCCTGCAGGATGCAGGACATGCACATGTACCCCAGAGCCCAAATACAATAAAAAGAAAAAAGAAAATTCCTTGGGTTACAGGGAGAGTATCTAGAGGAATGTTAATCATTACTGTTAAGTCTTGTTGATAGTCACTTCATTAAAATGTGATATTTTTCTCTTGGCTGTTCCCCAGCAGCTGCTGCCCTGCCCTTCTGCTTTCTGCTTTGTCCCAGAACAAGTGGGATTTATACATCTGACCCACCAGTTCCCAAGGGGTCCAGTGGTTACCATGCTTGTTTTATGTTGCACTGAATTGGCTGAGTTTTGTTCCTGGTTCTCATTGTCTGGTGGAACATGAGAAGCTTCAAAGATTTTTCAAATGAAAGCATAGGATGTTGATTTAAGCTAGGCATTAGAGTCTCATGAGCTCTCAGTGCTTAAGGATTTCTCACCATTTTGAAGCCTAAAAAGGACTCATTTGCAGAAACCAAGCTCTTAGACCAAGTTTAAGGTGAGCATTTTGGAGAATGTATTGGCACTGAGCTGGGATACCAGGCCAAGCCCTTCCGCTGAATAGCTGTGTTCTTGAGCAAGTCTCAACTTGTCTGAGGCAGCATAGGGTATTAAAATATAACTGGCTCCAGGTATAACCTTAAGACAAAGAAAAAAATAAAAAATAAATGTGACTGGTATGGGTTTGAGTCCCTGCTGGACCATCTTTCAATAGCTTTGTGATGGTTAGACAACTCAATTTTCCTCCTTTTTTTTTTTTTTTTTTTTTCCAGAAAAGGCCCTTTAAAGCATTACCATCCTGTCATCCTAGTGCCTGCCCCAGTGGATTCACAGATTGTTTGAGGGTCACATTGCTAATTATTAAGTTGGGAGAGAGAAGCGTATATAAAGCAAACGTACAGTGAATGTATTTTGTACCAAGATTGAAAAGGTCTTAAAGGTGAGAACCTCTGTAATGAGCCATTTGTTGCAATTCTCACCTTATGTTGCACAGCTACGTTTATTAAAAGCAACATGTTCCAATAATAACCAAAAACACAGTTTTCTGTTTATTAAACACCAAATAAGGGCCCTTTATTGTTTGAGGATGTTGTGAACATTTGCTACCTCCTTTTCTGGACTGTTTAACAATCAGTGGCCACCACTGATAAGTCTGCAAATATGAGAGGTAAACACTATAGAGGGGGAGGATGAACAGCCTGGTACAATTAGATATTTTCCTAAAGAAGAACTTCCCAGGCTGACTGGACTTTGGATTGGTCCTCTATTGGGCTTCACAGAAATCTCCAAGACTTTGTACTATAGTCTTACATTTATTTTACATTTCCTAGAATAAAGGTGTTAAGAGAATTAGATCAATGAATTTTAAGATTGTAAGAGAGCTAAAGAGGCCAAGAGTGTTCTCTTGAAGAGGGTCTGGGCTTTGGAGGCTGTGTGCTTTGGGTGACTTATCTTTGCTCAGGTACTTTCTAACAGAAAAGCAGTGTTAATGCATAACAGGTAAACTGAGGCCAGCTTTATACACATGAGACTACTCATAGGTAATCTGGGAACCAGAACACTTATTCCAGTGAAATCTTCTGTGCTGACCTTTGGAGTTTATCTTTGGAAATTGCCTTTAGAGCTGGCAGTTGGATCCAAATTTTCAGTTGGTTCACCACACAAAGGAATGTCTGTTTTACACCAGGCCCAGTGCTAAGCCCTGGAGATAAGAAGATAGTAAAGATACAATTATTGCAACTTAGTTTTCTGAACATGGTGTGGGGGAGGAGAGTGGAGCAAGGCTGAAGGAGACAGAAACATGTACAGTGTAATTAACAAATTAAGTAAAACATGGACAGACAAACACTGCCTGATTTTAGGGAACTTTAAAGAAAGGATAGAA